AACCAACGCTGTGAGCTACCTATGTGACCACCAAAGTACTTGTGCCAAATGTTCCAGAGCAGACAATACAGTGTTGCGGGATTTCACACTGGCTGGAGCCGATGGGCCCATGGCGCTGGGGGTAGGCAAACCTGCAGCACTGTGGTGTTGGCTTTGAAAGATCCGGTACACTTTCCACAACCACGGTGTGTAATAAAAACAAATCTGCGTACAAGACAGTTTGGTCCAAGCCATCTATTACTAACGCCAGGATCCAGGTTGAACAAACCTTTTTCCGATTGTGTGGCCGCTGTGGCCACGGCCACCAGCGCCGCGGCGCTCAGGAGCAGCAGCAGCAGCAGAGGCGAGCGGGCCATGGCGACTGGCATTGTGCGAGCCCGCTGTGCCGTGCGGACCTACACTGCACTGCGCCAGCCCACCGGCCGCAAGGCTTGCAAAAACACACCGATCGTTAACTTACAGAACGCCACTTCACTCTGTCGAAAATGGAAAATATGTAGAGAAGTACGTCACAACTACTGAAGAACATGGCATAGTCCAATATGACCCGTGAGGAAATAAAAAAAAACACAAAGTGGTGGGGGAATCCGCTCTGCTTTCTGAGGGCTCGCCTCTCGGTCACCGACTCGCACCGTCACCGTCATTTGTTTCAGTGACTTTTGCTTCGCGAATTTCTTCCTCCTGCTCGCCTGTGTCCGCCCGCTGTTCATTAGTGTACACCACATCTGAGTCTTACGTTGGGAGGGCGAGGAAGGGGGTGACGAGGCAGGGGTGTCCCACGGAAGAAACAGTGCGGGTGCGGGTCATTAGTTTACGCAACCGTTTTGCTACTTGACTATCTGTTTCTTCTATTATGTACTTGACCATTGAGTCGCGATGGCTCCTGCTCATCGTTTCTTTTTATTGAGCCGGCTCCCAAGCCCACCCAAGCCCCCAGGTGCATATCAGTTTTCATTAAACTGTGGGGTTTATGCAGATTCGACTTTGTTTCTGATGCCATCATATATAGTCGTTCGTCGACCTTTGGCGACCTTTTGTTGAATAACCGATTCTTACTTTAGTATGCTATTCGATCATTCCTTCTTATCCCTAAAAATGAAATTTGCTCATTCAAATTTTTTGTTTTTCCTTATTTACGGTCGGTATCGAAAATCGATACGTGGTCATAGTAATTTTGTATTTTAACAATTTAAATCATTAATTTTTAACATTTGTTATTAAAAAAAATTCTCGTAAATCTATAAATACTTTTCACAGTGATTCAATGTATATCTTTTGGCTGCCGAAACCGGATTTTAGTTGCATTCCCCATTCTCCATTTCTAGTTTTTCTATCTATCTAGCTGTCACTATTGAGGCCCTCTTGATTGTTAAATACATTACATTTCTTAATTACAAAATTCTTCATCTCCCCGTCCGGACCAGCAGTGTACGTAGTGTCCCGCCTCTGCCGCCTTACGGCCATCCTAACCATCAATCAACAATCCCCTTGCGGCTCTTCAAGGCTGATCCCGTTGTGTGTCAGTACCTTATGACCCCGAGAAAGGCAGAGACCTTCACCCGCTTGGAAACCTTTATCTCAAGTCTCTTAAACTTTTCATTTTTTTTACCGTAAAGTTTATTGTTTGGCCACATTGTGTGCCAAAAAGTCGCCCCCAATTCACTTACTGTTGCCCTTTTTGTCCACACCTCCTGTATGTCTCATCTCACATATGCGCTTCACGTTATGTGGTGAATAAATTCAGAAATTCAGTTGTTTTTCATGAAATCGGTCATCAACTAGTGCACTTTTTGCGTCTCAGCGACTGAAGTGCTTAAGCGCTGGTCACGGTCCCTCTCTCTCTCTCTCTCTGCGTTGCTGGACCCCAGCGGATGTTGCACGCTCTGCTTTTCTTTTGATCGTTTTGTGGTGTCTGTCTACCCTGCGGGATCCGCCCAACCTCCTTAGCATTCTGAGAGCGCGCTCTGCCCCTCCCTCCTGCGCGTGTGTTTGTGTGTGTACTGATACGGTCACCGCCTCTGCTAAGCCAGGAAAGTGAAGCGCTCGCGCAATGAATTCAAACGGCGCGTTTAAAACTGTCTGCTCGCGTGACCTATATCGGAAGCGTCGAGCAAATGGCTCGAACATGGCGTTTGGCATTTTTTGCGGGAAACATTATTTTGTCGGGGTAAGGAGAACATAGTACCCTGGTGTGGATAAGTGAGGCGCGCTCTTTTGGGAGTTATTTAGTTCGGGTCTGGCGCGCAGAGTAGTGGGGCGAATTAGCATTCTAAAGGCGCGTTCCTCACAATGTAACAAGGCGCTCACACACGGCTCGTTTGTATAACCTCTCGCCTGTCCGCCTAGATTCACCCATTCGCCGGGCTGTGATCTGTGGCTGCTCCTCACAGCCCGCTCCTCCCCGCGTGGACGCGACCGCGTCCCAATCTGTTCCACGCTGTCCGCTAGTTATGCATATCGTTGTATTTGTTTCCGTAAGGGCAGATGGTTTACTGTGCGTCCCTCCCCCGCCTGTTCCGCCCGCCCACCGCTCGGGCGTTCCCGGTGCCGTTGTCCGGCTGCAGGACCTTCGGCTGCTGAAGGCGGCTGCAGGGCTGTCGCCAAGGTCGGATGTCGTGTTATTTATCGATGGGGACTTTGATAGCCACCATCGCCACAGTACGCGTGGGCTGATGAGAATTAATGGCATGACGGGTAATAAGACAACGAGGTATCTTTTTTCAAAACTCGTGTCTACGTTTTTTTATTTTTGAGAATATCTAAGTCGGACTTTCTCACACGTTCCTTGGTCGCACGGGCCCATTAGGATGCGTTTACCGCCGCCGTTTTGTCGAGCTGCGCATAATCGGCCGCGAGCTGCACGCAGGTAATCGAAATTCCGCGACCGCGGCATCGCGTGTGGCGGAGCCTTGCGTACGTGCGGCCCTCCGGACGCTGCAGGGGATTATTGTCTTCTTTTCCGCATTATCTTTGTCATTGGATTTGCGTAGTACGCGTGGCAATTCGTCTACAAAATAACTAACAGTTTTATTTTTTTGTTCCGCGCCCTAATTTTTTTTTTCCTGATTATCCAGTGCGTGGGCCGTGGCGGGCCCTTGTTGCTCGCACAGACCGGCACTCAGCAGCGAGGCCATCAGATGGCAGCCTCTTTCATATGTTTGCTAATCATTGGCGAGGAGTTGAGTCAGACTTTGTAGCGGAGGAGGTTGTCCTATATTTGGACCTGCGGGGCGGGACCCCTATAACGAGTACCAAGAAGTTATTTTACGCACTGTGCAGGGCAGCAATTGGTTGGAGCTACTCTCAAGCTGGCTAATTATTCTACTTTTCTGATATTTTATTCTACCGAGCAGTCACACAATAGTACAGGCCAGGGTCTCAGATGCTCCGTCCTTTTAAAATGCAAGTGACTTTGGTGCCTGCTACTTCTGAATCACCTTGTATTTACAGTTTAGGCGATCTGCTTGAACGCGTCCATGCGGCACAGTAACTCTAACAAAACTGTCCAGGGCAGATGTACCATGTATCTCAGTTACGATATACCTCGCGGAAAATTGGTAAAAATGAAAACTACCGTTCTTATTTTTATTTGGAAGCCTAGCGTGACAACAAACCACATCAAACTTTATTGCTAATCAACAATACGACCCATGACCGATAAACTTACGTCTTTCTACGCGTTGGGGCGATCATGTTGGTTTTATGTGCAACGAATAAGGCCTTGCGCTATTCGTTATGTATCTCAAACTTTCCCCCTTTTCGTTTTGGAGCGCAGAGTTAGTCCGGCTCAGCAGCAGAGGGGTTCGTGGAGCGCACGCTACTCGGCCACTGAACCAATGCGAACCGCAAAGGGAAAATACTGTACTGAAATTCGCAGCATTCCATTCCATAGTTATAGTGAGAGTAAGGCTCAGAGTATGGGCATAACACACCCGTTAGCCTATTATCTTGCCGGGTTCCCTAAGAATGATTTTGAACACATTCTTTTCTTCATATTGGTTGGTCGGCCAAATACTGCATTCCATGTTGTAATGACAAACTTTCATTATTTCCTTAATACGAACATTAAAAATTCGCAAACGAAGAATTCTTGATGACTTCATATTGTATTTTTATGAGACCGCAAGAGTGTGGCACATCGGTTGCTTCATTACGCGTTGGACAAAAAAGCAGGGCTGGAAAAACAAACTACCCCGCTGTAAGATTACATGACGAGGGGGTGACTTACGATTGTTCACTACAACTCGTTACATTTCGATTAGCCGTGCGCCTGGGCACGTGGACATGAGACTGCCCACTGCCCAACCCTTCCTCTCGTACCTGTCGTGCGTGGCACTGCAGCCCCGCACGCTACCCCTTATCAGATGGCCGCCTGCCCACCCCCCGCCCCGCTGTCAGCCCCTCCTCCAGCCCTTGTCGATAACTTCCTTCCTTTCCCCACCCCTCTCGCCTACTATCTTTTTTTCCCTACCCCTCGCCACCACTCGCCCGTTCCTCACCCCTTGCCCTTTCACTACCTGCCAATCAAAGGCTACCCGCCCCCTTTCTTTTACACGCTTCGGCGCCGCTCGGGAAAAAGTATTAGGCAAAAGTACTAATTGTTTCTTTGTGCCGTGCGTGCGACGAGGACGGCACTACTTCCTTGCGCGACCGCGTCCAAGATGTGAGTGGAACAGATCTTTACGGTGCGCCCGTTTTACTCTGGCATTGCGTGGTGTCAGAGGGTCGGGCCGGAGGTTTCCCCATTCCGCTCCCTGCCTGCACGGGTCACGACAGCCGCCCTTCTATTGTTTTGTTTCTGCGAATAACGCCGGGCGGCCTTATGCAAGCCGCTCTAGGGCCTTGCTCTGCGTTACTGCCAGTGCCATTAGGGCGGGCTGCTGATCGCTCACGTCACTCTGGCGCTACGGTCCCCTTTCCGTCCTGGAGTCCCTGCGGGTGCTCGTCTGGAGGATTGCACCGGCTTACGCCTCACGCTTTTTTGTATGCTCTGTTTCCAGGTGCTCCAGAGGGACGTGGAGTCACACGGCAAGATCGTGTCATCGGTGGTCAAGCTCTGCGAGCGAGCGTGCCTCCAGCAACAGCAGCCGGGTCAGCAGGAGCAGCCGGGGCAGCCGGGGCAGCCGGGGCAGCCGGAGCAGGACCAGGGCAGCGCGCTGCGCACCGCTCGGCGGCTCGAGCGGCGCTGGCACCATCTGTACCTGCGGTCCCTGGAGTGGCAGTGCCTGCTGGAGACGCTCGCCACTAAGCTGCAGCGGGTGAGTACTTACGCAGCCAGGTGTGACCGAACTGATTACCAAATATTTTTTTTCCGTTGGTCACTGGGCGTGTGCACACAGCCCGCCCCTCACCCCGCCATGCGCCGAGGGGGAGGGGGTTATAACTGTGGCCCGGGGGACACGTGCGACAGGCGGCCTGCAGAACAAGTACACACTAAACATGACAGACCTGTACTGTTTTATCTGTCATGAAATATGTGTCTATTCTTTTTGTTTTGCCATATTTATAGTTTGAGAGGGATACATCTCGGTTTCGTACATTGGAGTGCGAGTACGTTCCGCAGGCATCTTAAGGGACGGTGTATTAAAAATATCAGATGTATCATTTGAAACAATAAACAATAGTTTTTGAGATTCGAGGTCCACGATGACGTCCTCTCGAATGGACTCGGCGCCACCAGATTCAAACTCTTCTTCGTACTGAAATTTTCTATTCTAATCGAGCCTTTATTCATGTGATACCTAGGGTAGCGTTTACATAAAAACCAAAAACGCACAATTTAATGATTTTCATGGAAATTGTGCACAATTTAATTTATTTTCGCATTTTGTAGTACAGTTATTTGATTTGCAGAGTAGTGACATGAAAGGTAACAAACTCGAGTTCAGTCCGACTAGTTTGGTGGGGGGGACGAGGAGAGGGAGCGGGACTGGGGGGAGGGGTGGGGGCATGTTCGCACGCCTGGGCGATTTCTGCTCTGAATGACGCAGCCGTGGTCGGCCCGCGCTCCGCGCCCCGCCGCGGTCCGACAAGTCAAATAATGACCGCTGCTGGGTTTGGCTGTGGCTGTGGCTGTGGCGGGAAGGTTTTCTAACGCACTTCTGCTGACGACCTGCGGGTGGCATTGTGTGTCTGTCGTTGTTTGGCATGTTGCAAAAAAATTCTTCACGACAAAAATCGACAAACTTCCTTATTTTAAAGTGTATTTTACGGTGTGGACTGGGGAAGCTCTCCAGACGAAATGTGTACACACCTCTGCCCTTGACAGTCTGGGCCCTGAATGAGGATGCAACGCGCCGCGACGGGCCGCCTGAACCGCAGATAGACTCATCAGAAGGTCGCATGGCATGGCGTGGGAGGAGGAGGAGGAGAAGGAGGAGGGGGGGTCCTTACCGACTAAACCTTCACGTCTCCACTAGCATTGCTCGTGGTCATCGCCCTCCCCTCGACTGACATATAGAACGTAGAGTGTACGTAGATCGACACTAGTTGCCGCTGTGTACTGCCGAGTGGTGATTGTGCAGAAAGGCTCGCCGAAAAGGGACTCATTGTCTCACCATGGTCCCGGCATCACAGGCCGCGCATGCTCGCCGGAGAGAGAGATTGGGGGGGGGGGGGGGGCAGGTGGTGTTGACCGATTGCCCTTCGTGAGCGGTAATGACCTTGACGTCCAGCTCAGATCACTTTTCTTCGCCGGTCCTTCTAATCCTTTGTTGCTTTTTTGCGCGAAAAGGGGCGCAACAGTAACACTAAAGACAAAAAGCCGCGAAGACTTAGTGAGCGTTATCCACGTACAGGCCAAGGCGACGTAAGGTCTTACCTTGAATGAGGTGGGAGAGCCATTAAAAAAGAGATCACAATGGATTTATGATGAGCAATAATTTATTGTGAAGATGGATTGCGGGACGTAACAGGAGGATCTGTGACGAACCGCCATAACCTTGATGTTGTTCTACTTATACTGATGCAATGTTGCAATCTTTTTTAGTTGCAAAAACTCTCCATATAGTGTGTGTAATATTAAATACAACATGCAACTATAGGCATTAATAAACTTGAAGGAAAAATGAAATTTTCATGATAACTTTTTCATTTGTAACAAAATCGAGTTATTATTTTAATAACCGCATACTGGCGTGTTAGGTCTTTCGTATTTCCCGTCGCCATCACTAACTCTCGTGCCTGTGCCTCATAGCCTAGCGCCGATCGAGTAGACAATCACTCTTAATCGTCTCACAAGTGTGCATGCAGTTTAGTAAACCACAAAAAATCCACAGTCACCTTGTATTTTCGAAAAGTAATATTGGACACTTCCGCTATGTATAATCTCGGGCAGTCAAAGTTATCGTCTAGAACGGGTGAATCCATGGTTTATATTTAAAGGCAGCAAGAAGAAAGTTCTGTCCTTTTTTTTTTACAGCAAATTTGGTTTGCTCTTCTGATTCAATCTGAGTTCGTGATTAGCAAGTTGGATGCTGCCTCTGGTATTACAGCCCGTTAGGACCCGACCAACCCGTCATCGGAGATGAGAAGCGTTATTGATGTTAGGCTCCTGGGTCCGGGTCAGGCTCTAGGGTGGTCGGCGAGGCTCTTTCGACTAGTCTTGCCTTGCATTTAGGTCCCTGGTGCCTGGGGAGAGTCTTACGAGCACACTCCACCTGATACTGATGTTTTTGACCACGTTGCCAGTATTACTGCTACTTACAACTTTTAATCAGTAATACGAAACAGGTCCAAACATCGTGGGAATTCCCTGTACCTCCTAAAATATTGGAGCAAGAAACTTAATTCCCTCGAGATATTTTCCTAAAAAGGTTCAAACTACACAGCAACGGAAACAATTATGCTCGCCACACTTTTATCGACCCTAAAACCACGGTTTTCTGAAAAATATTCCATGTTTTATAGTGTTGTCCGAAACACTGTCTTTACGACTGATTAAGTTCGTTTGTGTACCAACTTCTTCGTAAGCTCAACTTTACGGAATCAGCATGATTTCTTGCAGTGGTGTAGAGTAATCAAGGGCAATGGCATTTCAGGAATGTTCTGAGATTGGGAGTCGTGCGAGGTGATGGGAAGTGGGGGGGAGGGAAGCAGTAAGGTATCCTGAGACTTTTCCCGTAATCGCGCTTAGGTGCCTAGCCGAAACATTTCGCGCTGCAGGTGTCATGAGTCGTGAGGTCGTACGCCCTCGCCCGCCCCGCCCCGCCCCGGGCTGGGGCCGCCCCTGTCGCCATCCCCACACTGAGCACGACTGGCTGCACGAGCCGAGTCGGGGCCGGGCGGCCAAGGCGGCGGGTACGGCACCGCTAGAGGGCGGCGACATTTGCGCGGTACATTTCAAATTTAACGCCCTGATGCGGCTGAACCGCTTCGTGTGAGATGCCCCGTCAGATTGCGGCGGGCCGGTGCTTTTGCTTTGACAACCAAGGAACGGTACAGGAGAGCGCCCGTCTCGCCTCACCCCGCCTCACCCCGCCTCACCCCGCCCCGTGTAGATGGATGCCCTCGCAGTGCTTGGTTCGCGCGGGGTGACATGCGAATATGAGTGCGGCAATTCATCTTTCCTACCGCTTTGTCTACTTCTGCGATGCTTGTTGTGGAACAGCCGTCACAGGGTCGGTGTGGTGTGGTGGGGAGAGGTGGCGGGGGGCGTTGTGCAGACCACACTGGAGGCGCTGTCTCGCCTCGCTCCTAACAGCTCTGTAACGGGAACAGCATTGGTTGAGCCCCTCCCTCCCCCTCACTCCCCCGCGGACGAGCAAAGGCAAAAGAAGGCAAGGTACGCAGCGCGCACAAAAGCAGGCTCTGGCGGTGACCTCTTTCCGTGCTCTGCATTCGCGAACCAGCCGGCGTTGCAGCATTTGGTCGCCGTTAGTGATGTCCCCTCGCGGCCCGGATAGGCCCTAATCACCTGCCTATGCATAGCCAAGCAGCCGGTCGATTTGTAGGGCAAGGCTGCAGCCGCGTGGGCATCTCAAGCAGCTGCAGGCGAGCGGCACTACTCTGACCACCCGGAGGGCGTTTTGCACCTGTAGCTGCACCGAGCTGTACTCTGAAGAATTTGATGAAGGCATGGTGAAAATGAAATAATCTCAGCACAAAAGTGTGTTCAGGTGCTGCACAGGGTGCAGGCAATTAATCCCGTATTAGATAGTTTTTTTAGCACTGAGCAAACAAATGAACTGACTCAGCCAATTCGTTTAGTACCAGTGCATTATTTTAGCTGCCCCTGTCACATCGGTGGCTGCGGGAAAGTGATCTGCTCTAAGCTACTATACATAGTCCAGATGGTGACCGCAGACTACGATGCGTGCACCGTGCAGCATCTCCATGGAGACTCTTTCGAAAATCCGGTGATATGCGCTGACCTAGGCCTGGCTGCATGACCCCAGTTACGGGTGGCTCCAGTCCACTCTGAGCAAGTAGTCGTGAGCCCTCGCTGACGTTAAAGTTAAAATC